ACAGAAGTTCACAGTGTCTCCAATATGCATTCTTTTCGTGATCTTTTCTTTGTTTTTCTTCTTTCCTTTATTCTTTTCTCTCGTCTCTTCTGACACTTTATAGTTTATTCATATCGGCATACTCGAAAATTGAAAATACATGAGCAAGTTCAATAAGTTTTATTTGATTAAATGTTCAAAGTAATCGCCTTGATTATCTACACACAACTGCATTCTTTGAATCCATTGCTCAAACGTTTCTCTATACTCATCTTTATTCAAAGAATACATAAACTCAGTTATGGTGTGATGTAACGTTTCGGAATTAGGTTGATCAGTTAGATTTCGTTTGATAAGGTCGAATAACCAAAAATCACAGGGAGATAGATCTGGAGAATTGGGCGGATGTGGTACTATGGTAATTACCTCTGAACGAAGATAATCGAGGACATCTTGATGAACATGTGATCGTCCGTTATCATGATGAAGTTTGATAGCATGAGTACCTGAGGAAGGTCTTTGTTTCTTAATTTCTTCGATCACAGGTTGCAAACAATTTTCGATGTAATAACGGTGATCGATAGTCTGTTCACGTTCGACACGATGGATTAGAAGAGGACCAATTGATTTAAAGAAAATGCAAAATAAAAATTTAGAAGCAAACTTATTTCGTCGTATTAATGTTGGTGGAGGATCATCTTTTGCCACCCAAGCAGCATTGGAAACTTTTCGACCAGTTTGCTGATGGAAAAACCACGATTCATCACCTGTTATCACGTCAGACAAACGCCATCCTCCTTCTGTAAATCTTGATAGATTTTCTTTACATATTCGAACTCGTTGATTTCGTTGATAATCCGTTAGCTGTTTGGGTATGTAACGAGCAATAATTTTTCTAAGTTCCAGATGACCCGATAATATTCGATGAACGGTGCCATAGCTTAGATGAGTATGCTCCTGTAGTTCTGCTATTGTAACATGAGGATCATCGTTAACAATACTACGAATTTCTTCGATATTGTCAACAGTAGTCTCAGTTACAGGTCTTCCAGATCGTTCTTCATCTTCAATTTCTTCTCGACCTTCACGAAACCATTGAGTCCATCTGGCAACTGTTCGATAGGAAGGAGCTTCATCACCAAAAACCGTATGCAGCTCGTCGTGAATAGTTCTTGCTTCAATATTTAGTGCAGTACGTATTTTAATGTAGAAGCGAAAATTCTGTGTTCATTGAAAACAAAAATGAAGAGTGTTATGAGCCGATTTAACTCTACTTCTTTTATTTTCTATCAAATAGAATAGTGCATGGCACGTGCACAAAAAGAGGCATGCATCTTTGTATTTATATGATAAACGATAAAGTGTCAGAAGAGACGAGAGAAAAGAATAAAGGAAAGAAGAAAAACAAAGAAAAGATCACGAAAAGAATGCATATTGGAGACACTGAACTTCTGTGACCGATACACATGTTAGGCAAACTAGTTTTATTAGAATTTTGTTATTATGATGTCAAGCGAAGTACGACCAAATAGCATAGAAAGAAAGAGCATTTTCCGCTCTATCATCCTATGTAAAAAAGAATTTTTTATCAACCCTAAAATATGGTAATAAAATGTCGTTGCCACTACTTTTGGATACCCCTAAGTATTTTAAGAGATTTTATGTTGTTTTTTACTGATTGATCAATGATAGATATGAGTAGAGAAAAAGAGAAGAGGAATTCTATATATAGTAGATTATTCTAAATATTAAATATATGAAATAGATTTTCA